ACTGTCCTTCGAACAAGTATTTGCCTTCTGTCAAAATGTACAGAACAAAAAAAAGTATCAGCATAGCACTACTTGTATGAACAGAAAAATTAAGGTTGCGTTTCAGTATGAGAATTGTTATATAACCAAAGTTACAATCAACACTGTTTGGGTCACGTTACGTAAAATTGGGGTGAGTAATTGAGGATCATTAAAATAAGAGGTCAGCAAATGTGAATATTTTATTAATTCATCAAAGACCATGTCAAGCGTATAATCAACAGAATAGTCTGATTCATCGAGGTCTTCCATTTCATTGACAATTCTATATTTCTCAATATAGTTGATTGACTCATCATCGGAAATGCCATATACAATTCGAAAAAGAAGCTTATTAGCTTACGTACTGGTACGTAAACTATGTAATCCAAATCGTGAAAATCCAATTCTTTTGGGAGATTTGAACTATCCATATACTCATTTGTGAACTGATGAATGCAGTGGTATAATGCTATCTGAGATGCTGACGATAATCAATTGTATCTCGAAATCTGCGACTCTCTTCATTTATTTCTCGTGTACTGATAACATGTACAAAAGTATTGTAAATCCAAACGAATTATCTCAACTCTGGCTCTGCAATGATAATCTTCTTAGACTTTTTGGAGGTTTGCAAAGGGTATCTCTGGATTCGACATAGATGGCAGAAGATACTGAAATCTATGTCACTGGCTTCGTCAGACCATATTACATCATTCTGGAAGCCATTTAATTCAGCACATTCATCAAAATGTACCCACCTGTTGGCGCATTTAATGAAACTATATATATATAGAGGTTGACGGTTAGCACGACTGGCTAAGTTGAGAAACAGCACGAGGATTGGAACGGGTGTGCAATCGGAGACAGAGAAAAATGAGAACTCTTTTTTCTGTTCAAGCTTTCGAGACTTTATTGACTCTTCTTCAGGAACTCTAGATGATAAGATGAAAATTTAACAACTGTCAAAATTTGTTCTACATTACTTACGAAAGTTGAGGTTATGTATATGAAGCAAGCATGAGAAGAATTGTTTTCTTAAAACACTTTGAAAATGTGATGATTGATGAACACTCATGATACTGGATAACTGGTTAAAACTGAGAACATTATAATAAAATGTGGATGGCACTAATAACATTAGATTGAAACGTTTGATTAAGAATTCTTCAGGTCTTACAACTACGGAAACGCAGAGGGTAACGTATTTTCACTTTTCGTTTCTTGAATAATTTAAAATTTCATAAATAAAAAAGAAGTGACCGATACTCAATGAAAATCCATTATAACGTACTCAAAAACACATTACAATGTGAAATTTCTACTTAAAAGTTTATAAAACCGCGACACGTGTTTCGCTATACGATATAATCTTCAAGCGTCACAATACTGTTTATATAAAATATATGTCCTGCTATTATAGTAATTTGAATCATTATAAATATCACTACCAGCCAAATTTCTACATGATAAATTCATTACCTGAACTATTTACCTAACGAGAAATAACTCATAAGATTGTAGAATAATGAAATACAATTTTTATCTGAGCTATCATTTTACATACTTTTGAAATATGTCCTGATTACCAATTTCCTCATTGCAAACTGAATTCAATAAAGGGAAACAAATCATATCGATCATTGAGCCAATAATTCTGAATTTTACATCTATTGATTTCCAAACATTCCATAAGGTTGAGTTTTGAACCTTTCTTCCAAATACGTCATAATCGTGAATGAACTCGAGCTCCTTTGTCAAAGATGATTCGCAAATGTTGAATTGGCCTTTCCATTAAAAAAAACTACGTTCGTTTTCTTTTATTCTTCTGGAAAACGTTCTTCCAGTTAGTCCGATATACAATTTTGGACAAGAGCCACAAGTTAACTGGTATACTCCTGGTCTATTACACTCGAGTAACCGGTTTCGGAGTACTTGCTTCCCGTCAGTAGCGGTAGGATCATTTCAGACGGAGTGAAACATCTGAGAATCCCGAACAAATAAAATCAATTCCACCTAGTCATAAGATCCATCAGCAGTCGATTTAGTAGGATGCACCACTGCGCCACCTGCAGACAAAGTCCGGAAAATACTACACAAATATATACTACGGGGTAGAGTCTTAATGATAAATTAATATCTTCCGGACAGGTGCTTATGACATGCTCAAGTTCAGGTGGTAAAAATACCACACCCTTGCCTCTCATGTGAACATACGACTTTGTAGGCACGTGTGGCAGATATCCGATGGAAAAACAACAACTAACCCAGCTAATGCCGCGCATTACACTCAAATATAACTGCTTTGCTTATTATTCTCCAATTGCTGAAGAATCAACAAACAAAATAATTTTTATAAACCATGTTTTAGGTCACAGGAACATTATCTGTGATAAGTTATACGACACCGCTCTTCATAGTAGTTATTATTCCACTTTCTATTCTCTACTATTTCATACAGAGGTTTTATATTGCTACCTCAAGACAGTTGAAGCGTTTAGAATCTGTCTCTAGATCACCAATCTATTCGCATTTTGGAGAAACAGTATCGGGAACACATACCATAAGAGCTTACAATCAACAGGAACGGTTTATTTTAGAATCAGAACGTAAAGTGGATCTCAACCAAATATGTTATTATTCTGGAACAATTTCTAATCGATGGCTCGGTATTAGATTAGAAATGACGGGAAATTTGATTATACTTTTTGCAGCTCTTTTTGCTGTTATTGCTAATAATCAGGTCCCCGGATTAGTAGGATTGTCAGTGACTTATTCATTACAGGTAAGAAACATACCTTTTTTATAAGTTATGTGGACCAATTAATGTTATCCAAAAATAGTTATAGTTACTTAAATCACTATGACATGTTTTACATTCCTTCGATGATTTTTTAACGGATTTTTCTCTTGATTTAGATCACACAATCTCTCAATTGGCTTGTTAAAATGACATCTGACGTAGAAACAAATATTGTAGCTGTGGAACGTATCAAAGAATATGCTGAAGCAAAACAGGAAGCTGCATGGGAAATCACAAATAAAAATCCACCAAATTCCTGGCCAGAAATTGGTACTGTCGAATTCAAAGATTATTCTGTGAGGTATAGACCAGGTCTTGATCTAGTTTTGACAAATGTCAATTTCCACATCAAAGGTGGTGAAAAAGTTGGCATAGTTGGACGGACTGGTGCAGGGAAATCAAGTTTGACTCTTTCACTTTTCAGGTAACTGTTTGCTAGTCTTGTTTGGTACCTAATTTCTATAAAAATTGAGAGAAATCTGAGAAAAACGATGACATAAAAGTTTGAGCGGGAAAATTAAACTGTCTGCAGATGTCACTTTATTCTGAAAAAAGTAATTAGAAAATCATTCAAAGCATTGATATGTGTATATGGGCGACATAATTAACTTCAAATGTATACTATGTGTAGTTCCGCAAAGATTAATACTTAGACCTGTTTTGTTTCATAAATATTTCAATTCTTTGGCTATATTTGGAGGAATTAATATATATTTTACTCAATAGAACCTACAAATACAAATCAATTAACAGAATTAAAGAGAAAAGAGGACATATGCCTCCTCACTCACAAGCAAATTAGGTGAAATTGGGCACACATTTGAATCGTTGTATTCATGCTACGTGCCACTATAAGGGTGTTTGCAATATGCTGTGTAATGGCCGTTGTAAGTAGTCCCACTGTGATTCGAAAGTGCATATAGATTATAACGACAAGGGGCCACATTGTCTGCTGCATAATTACTCATATCTAATCATTCTAAAGAAAAGTCGATGACAACATTCAATTTGTCTCTGAATCTTTCCGTTGGAGAGAATATTTTTGAATGAATTACTAAAATACAGGGAAATTTATGGATTGATAGGGACTTTGTCCATTTTCTTCTTTCCTTGCACCTCGAACACGTTGGTTTTTCATCTCCAACCGGAGTTTTCTCTCTTGTGAAGGAATCTAGGCATTATGACAAACTCAATTGGTCGGTTCTTTGTGGTATGTCGAGAGACAAATCCCAGAAAGGACGAAGGTTACTGAAAAGTGTCCACAGTGTGAGCACTTCATAGTGGATTTCAATTGACCAACAAAATTGTCTACAATTTTAGAGTTATATATGTTTAAATATCTCAGCCAGGAGCATTGCGCTTTTCCGGTGTCACTCAAATTTTCGTCAATCTCCGTTAAGATCGGTTTAGTTTTCTCAGTAATTCTATTGAGGTCTTCATGTAAACCTTCTAAAAGATATCGAAGGAATTCCTGAGCGTCTTGATGCGCAGATCCCATGAATCGAGGGGCAAATTTTTGAATCTGATTTTTCAAGTAGGCAATGTTTATTACTTTATCAGATGAATCTTCTGACCACAATTCCTTGATAACTTTTGCGAACACTTTGATTAAGGCACCTTTCATAGTAGAAATACTAGTATTGATATCTTCTATGTATGTATCATTTTTTAAACATTTTGGAAACAGGTGTTCCAATATTCAACCCATCAAACCCAAGACTTCATACTGAAGAATGTATCACTGAACTAATGTTGTAACTGTCGATTCTACGTTTGCCACTGCTGTCTTCTTCTGAGTAATCACGAATTGGATGATTCACCCTTTCATTGGATCAGTGAGATAAGGAATTCGAAGCTGAACTGTCCAAAACTGAATTGGATATGGCTATATTAAATTTATTTGGTAAATTAAAAATGTTTGCTGATAACATCACGTCAATTTACAAGAGAAATAGTATACAAGAAATCAAAACGAATATCTAGTTAAATTCCATAATGAAAATATTAAATACTCTCCTAGTGCTAAATTTCTTGGTCTCATTTTAGATAAAAATGTATAATGAAGACAACATTTCGAAGCAATGAGAAAGAAAATAGCTCCCATAATAGAAATTTTATTCAAAATAAGAAATTTACCATTGAAAAAAACTTTAATTTGATATATTTTTCATTAGTATATTCCAAAATTCAATATCTAATAACAGTATGGAAAATGGTATCGAATTCCTTATTGAAACCAATTAAAAAACTTAAGAGAATAAAATTATAAGGTGTATATTCAAGCTGAACTACAAGGAATACAGTCAACTTATATAAACGAAGAAAAACTATTACATTTTTCATTCTTGCATGAATTCAAATTATGTAAGAATGATCGAAAATAAACGCAAACCTTCCAATCTGACTTTCAAAATCAATGGTGACCAACACAACCATTCGACGAGATATTCAAGCAATCTAAAATTAATGTAAATGAAAAAAATATTGGGCAAAATTCGATTAACTACAAAGGTAGCAACCCGTCCAGCAAAAAGCTCAGATAAAAGCCGCAGAGATCGCCTTACTTCTGTGGAAACACAAAGATAAGCCAATGCATAGGGTCTTCTTCAATAACATTGGAGACCTTGGCTTATCAAAGTGTCTGACTTTCGTTTTCCTCAGGTCGAGTGGGCTGAAGTCGGAAACTGAGGGGTTCATCATGGCATGCCAGGATGGTGTCTTCAACACCTTAGTCTACCGCAGTTGCGTGATGGGTATAGAGGTTCCTGACACAAGGTGCAGGGCCTGCCGCGAGGCGCCCGAGACCCTAATGCACTTGCTATCAGCATGTCCAGTATATACGGTCTCGGCCTATATCCATCGACATAACGCAGCTCTGAGAGTGCTATATTACCATCTGCGGCACTCTTACGGTATCGATGAGACACCGGTGTTGCCCTACGCTCCGGGCGATATTAAGTCCATTGTGGGGAACGAGAAGTGCCGAATTGAATGGACCTACTCTTTCAGGCTCTTACAAGCTAATAAGCCCGATGTAGTCATTCTCCACCACCAGAGCAAAACGATATTTGTTGTGGAGTTTTCAGCTCCTGGCAAGACGAATATTGTCCGAAAAGAGGACAACTTTTTTCTGTTCTTAGACCTAAAGAGAATGCTCGCTGGAAAAATTTAGCGTTGATGAAGAGGTAATCGTCGAAACTGAAACGTCGAACTCCAAACGTTTCAAATGTAACTGCGGCAGTCATCTTCAGTGGCGTGGTTTTTGTAAAACCGCGACACGTGTTATGCATAACTGTTATGCTTGAAGAAGCTATTGTATAGCGAAACACGTGTCGCGGTTTTCGTAAAACCCTTATAGTGAAAATCATAGAATAAACTCTATTGATTAGTTTTTTTTAAATATGGATTTTCATCAAGTATCGGCCAGTTCTATTCAATTATTAAAGAAGTAAAATTCCATTTGCACGGAAGACTGTCATCTCCAATGGCGGACATCGATGTTTCGGAATAAGACACTTGTCTTATTGAATAACTTTTTTCGAGATCAATTGCCCTAACACCAAACTGATATTTTTGCACTCGACGCGCGTTTCGCCAACAAAGTTAGCATCCTCAGGAGAAGAAAATTGATCTTGTCTTATTATAATGTTATCGAGATTGGTTCTGAAGAGGCAATAAGACTTGTGTCTCATTCCGAAACATCGATGTCCGCCATTGAGGATGGCAGTTGTTACGCACTGCTCAAATCATATTATGTACCCTTGTTCATCTGTCCAATAGCTGATGTGCGTGAACTCGTACCCAAGCTCAAGTGTCGGTCGGGGTGGGTCCACGAGATCAATTTTATTAGATTTTTCTGAGTTGATTTTAATGGGCGCCACTAGTTATCAATGAGCCAGTCTTAACTAGTAGACTGCCCAGGGTGACTGGGTATGAACAGACAAATCGGAACGATATAAAGATGATTAACAATTATATTACAATAATAATCAGGATTACGCGTATCGGTACAAATTACTAAATAATCAATTCACACAAAGGAAGGACTGCCCCTTAACATCTAATATATTTTTACTCATAACAACAACAAAAAGGCAAAACAAACTCAGTTAACGCGCCGCAGTGACGTCACGTTGTCGCTTACACGTTACCTTAGGACCAAAACACATAATACAATTTCTTTTTAAATAAGAACGTCGTTGAAATTCTCTTCAAAATCCCTATTTTATTTGTATTGTTCTTGCTTAAATT